AATTAACAAATCTAAATAAAAGATAATGATTTATGTAAATTTTGAGGACTGCTAAATCATTAAAAGAAAAACAAAAATCGTTCAAACCGAACACCATTAACATTAAACTTAATTTTTGTAAGACGTTAATCATTTCACGACATCAAAATCTCCTGTTTTGTTACCGATGGAAATTTGATTACCTCTCCTATTCGTCGATTTTTACAAAATGTAAGGTGGTGGAAGGTGCCCACGATCCCTCTTACATTTTTCTTACAATTGGGACTATCACACTGCAAATTCGGGTGGCACGATCCAATCCCATGTCAATACGGATCACACTGTTAATGTGTAATAGATAAAGAGTCCAAATCTATTGTTCCCTTGGTAGTTTTCTCAATATATACATCACTTTTTCTTAAAAATTGAATAGTTGACAATATATTTTTGACATTTCGACGCATTATACTTTAGTGTGAAAAAAGGCTGATCATGTGTATATTTAGATTTCTCTAAAAATTGGGCCTTCGAGCCTTATGTAGTCCTAATTGGGCCTTTTTCAGGCCCAAATTTTCCGTTTACTGTCCCACCCATTATTTTAAGGGCAACTTACACAAATATCCTTAAAATTAAAGGTCTTTTGAAAAATCATATGAAAAAAATTTTGAAAGTAAAAAATACTGTATAATATTAAAAAGTGACATTGATGTCACTTTTTTTAATTAAAAAATGACATACATTATCACTTTTATTAAAAATTAATGTTTGTCAATAAAAAAAAAGTGATAGAAATTAAGAAGTTGATTGAAAAAAGTGACGCACTAAAAAAAAGTGACAAATTAAAAAAAGGTGATAAATACTAAAAGAAGTGACAAAAATTCAAAAAAGTGATAGAAATTTTAAAAAAGTGACGAATTCAAAAAAAAATGACATAAATTAAAAGAAGTTATTCACATAAAAAAGTAACAAACAATAAAAAAAGTGAAAAACTCAAAAAAGCGACAAAATTTTTAAAAAGTGACGCAAATTACCAAAAAAAAAAAAAAATCTTAGTTGCACTATTTTATATATTTGTACTCAAAAGACATTGGAAATGCACACAAATGTCTCAATGACAACAAATTAAACATTATTCCCAATAACTATGTTATGAATGTGAGCTAAGTATGTAAATAAATTGCTCACAATCAACATCCAGGTGAAATAACTACTACGGCAACAATGACAAGCACATAATAACAAGAATGAATAATAAAACTCTGGACAAGACTTTAAATTAGGAAATAGTAGCCTAAAATTCATGAGGTAACTTCTGAGGGTAAATAACAAATGAGCCGATGTTATTCCAAATTGTTGACACACAAAATATTCAGCCCAATTTAAATGGCCCAAGAGAGCAAATGGCCCAAGAGAAGAAGCTTATCTAGAGAGATTAGGGTAAAAGCC